TCGTAAGTAAGTAGGGTTTCGAGACTACCAGTAAATAAGTGTAATGAGATGTATTCACCCTATTTCGTCTGGGGTAATGAAGGACTGGTGGTAGAATTTTCCCACAATGATATGAGTTGAGCTGACGTGGGAAAATTCTACTACCAGTCCTTCATCACCTTACACGAAATAGGGTGAATACATCTCATTACATAATCCTCGTACAATTTGCTTCTAACGTGGGCATCTCCCAATTCGCATCGGCATTTGGCACTTCAGCATAGGCAGGCAGATGTGCATTTTGCGTTGAACCGAGCGGATGACTGAATTGCCATCTGCTTTGCCTACTTTTCCTGCCTCCTTTTAGAAGTGAATTGCTACACCGTCTTCACCGACCTCATGCAACGTAGCACCTCTCAGCTTTGGCGTTACCTTCGCGTAGCAGAGGCCTGCAATTGGCCAGAAGCACCGGAACTTCCGGCCACTCACCTCGACTTGGACGGATTCTCCCCGGATCCCCATAGCGCCAGTGACAGCAATCTTAACGACTCTGTCTCCACGCCAACAGGCATCAGGTCTGCCTATCGCAGAATCAGGCCCGGCCTCGTGTCGACCACGACTGCTTCCGGATGCCCCAACTATGCAGGCTGCCTCGGAGCGCTGGCCGGCTTTTATCGCCAGCCCGACAAGTTGGTATATCGCGCTCTGGTCTGCTCCTGCCCACCCGACGATGCCGACTGTCATTTCCAGCGAGATCAGGTCCTACGGCCTCGATGCGCCAGTCTCGGGTCGCTGCAACAGTCGGAGACCAGAAGCCGCATTGCGGAGTCCAGGCATGAGGTGGATTTCAGCAGCCGACAGGTCAGCAGACTCGACAAAGAACCCAAACTCCACACGTCTACAGCAACCTTGTCAACTGGTACTTCCGAAAGGACCGGTGCATTCATCTCTTGCATTGAGTTGATGTCGCGGTGCCTGCGCAACATGACATGCAAGTGAGTTCTAGCGTTGCCACATTTCTCGGAAGTTTGCATCTGCTTCTAATAAATATATATGAGCATTTGATTGAATATATGAAGACCAAAATGTTGTGGC